TCTATGGAATTCAAATAATTCTTCGGCTAAATCTTTCACTTTCTTCTTCTTCAGCTTCTCCTTTTCACATCTCAAGAATTCCTCTTCCGTCAGTAAGGTTTCAGGAGTTGGTGTTGTGGGGGTTAGAGAATATACGATTCTTCCACGCCTCGTTTTTCCGTTCACTGTCACTGAAAAACATTTGGAATTCAATTAAAAATTATCTCATTTTCTACTTACACATCGGAGGAACAACCCGTTTACCAGTGCTCATTTGAGTAGTTTTCGATTGCTGCAAACGAGTCTGAAAAATTGATATTTTTGAAATATAAAAACTGAAAGAGAGGAACGTGCTGATTCTTGAGTAGTGGCACTGAAAATATCCGGTTGAGATGTTATGAAATTGGTGAGAAAGTCTGGATTCCAAGCTTCTTTCTGAAATTAAAACGTTTTGAAATTCGGTTGATTGATAATTTGAAACAGAAACAAAAAGATAAACTCACCATATCATCATCATCGTCCACATCATAAATATTACTTGAATTAGATGCACCGTCATCACTGCTTCCTCCTGAACCATTGAATTGAATTATATCACTTTGATCTCCCAAATCATCATCATCATTAAGTAGGATCTCATCATGGATCATTTTCACTGGTGGGTCAATTTCGGCTTTCTTCACTTCTGGAGTCGCATTTATTGGTGATTCTTTCCTCTTCACAACCATCATTTGAGTTGTTTGTTGATGATGCTGTGTTGATGATTGTTGAGGTGGATGATGATTTCCATTTGTCGTTGCTTTTGGAGGAGCAATCACTACTTTTGCCGTTTGAGTAGCTGGTGCAACTCGGAGAGGAATCGCCATGTTTTTTGGTGGTAATGGTAGAACTTTAGTAAGAGCTTGAGTAGGCCTTGCAGTTGGTGGTGGTGTTGCCAATACTGGTTTTATTGGAACCGAGCTGACTGATGCTTTTTGTACAGCCGGTAACGTTTTCGGAATACTTTGAGGAAATACTTTTGGAACATTTTGTGGGAAAACTTTTGGAAGACTTTTTTGGTGATTGTCCGATAATTTTGAGTGATCATCATGATTATGTTCGAAACTCTGGATTGATACAGTAGTGGATATTGTAGAGCTATCTGATTCAGATCCAGGAGAACCTGAGCATTTTGGACAGAACTTTTGAATATCATCACAGATCGATACAGGAACTCCAAAGTCAGAAACCTAAATATTTATAGATAATTGAATGAATTTGAAAAATTGAACCCACCAATCGATTCAATATTTCGCCCATTCGATCCCGATGTCGATCAAGGTGGACTAAAAGAAACATTTTCCCTGGAATGATTGACATACGATGGACGTCTGAAATATTCACGATAAAAATACTGTTTCATTATTAATTCAACGTAAAGAAATTAGATAAAGTGAAGAATGAGGTGAGCATAATTTGAATAGCCTAGTTACAGAAAAAAACAGAGGATTGAGGAAGAAGGTAGTTCAAACAAAAAATATAAAGAGTTTTTCAAATAACACTAGAATGCGTTGGGGACCTGCGGTGCAATAGAAAAAAGAAAATCAGAAAGGCCACCACGTCTTCATTTAACTATATAATTTTTCTCATTTCTGAAATGGGTCCTCAGACGTGAACCCCGAAACATCAGAAATCGGATGAATGATTATCATTTTTGAAACCAGCGTAAAAATTCCATCTGAACCCAAGTTGTCCGGTTCCAAATGGTAACGTAAGAGCGATTTAGTTTTATTTTTTGTCCAGTTTTTCACTAAATTTCAGTTTTCTCCTTGAACTGGCAAATTTTTGAACTAAAGATTTTCTAATTCATTTTCCTTCTCATAGAGTACCATCAGGGCTGCAACCACATATGTTTTTGAAGACCGAATTCGGTTCCTGAGCCCAGATATAGGCCGGAAACTGTGGTCCTATAACCAAAATTAGAGCACATTTCTATGGCTCACAAGTGGGAGAGTGGTCCGATTGACTCGAGTTAAGGCTCATTCGGTAGAGCTCATTGAGTCACATATAGCCCAAAAGTTTCAGACAAATCCTTCCTGAAAGTCTTCTTATCGAAAATTTGATTGAATGTTAGTACACGGGTCATTGTGTTTCAAAGTTATCTTCTATGGAAAATTACAGAAGTTTGTATAGTAAATGGGGAATCGTATCATCTGTCTTCTGACTTTTTATTTCGTATATGCTAAGGAGCCAAACAAGTAAGATCCCTAAATTACAATAATTCATTTAAAGTATTGGGAGAACATTTTCTCGAAGTTTTTGTTCCATTCGATTAGTGCTTATTTGAGCTCTCCACAATCGGAAATGAGACATGGAGCCGATGGAGTACCATCCTCTGATCCTTTCTTCTCCACAGCTTTCACCACATCCATTCCTTCAATCACTTTTCCAAAGACAACATGTTTTCCGTCAAGCCATTCGGTTTTAACAGTGCACAAGAAGAATTGAGAACCATTCGTGTTTCTTCCGCAGTTGGCCTGAATATAAAGTTGTATTCATGTAAACGGGTTTTAATGAAAATCTTTTTTTCAGATACAACATTTGAATCTTTCAGATGCTCAGGTTTGGAAATAAGATATCGACTATCTATCAATTTCAATCAACAACTCCACATTTAAAAATCTCTACCCACCATAGACAAAACTCCAGGTCCGGTATGCTTCTCCTTGAAATTCTCATCTGGAAACGTCTCTCCATAAATTGATTCTCCTCCTGTTCCATTTCCTTTCGTAAAGTCACCACCTTGGATCATGAATTGTGGAATAATACGATGGAATTGTGATCCTTTGAAATGCAATTTCTTTCCTGAAGTTCCAGTTCCTTTCTCTCCAGTACAAAGAGCACGGAAGTTTTCAGCGGTTTTTGGTACGATGTCATTGTACAACTGAAAGAATCAAAACTACGAACAGCTCTAAATTCCTCCAGGATATAACATACCTCCATTACGATTCGTCCGGCCTTCTTGCCTCCGATAGTGATGTCGAAGAAAACTTTGGTACGTGGCATTGTTCCGATTCAAAATCACTGATTTGCTTTGACAGCGGTACTGAATTGATTCTATCCCTAGGACCACTTTTTGGAAACGTGGACTCACGTGGAATCTAGATTATTGGAAGTGTCTTCACGTTGAATTAATTTATTTTCTTTAATAAAATGTGACCAAACACACCGTTTACGCAGTTTCTCTTCTGAATTCGAGTTTTTTTTACATCAGACCGATTTTAGCGCATCAAAAAAGTACCCAGAAAGATGTAACAGGAAGGCATGGCATCCGTTTTCTGAAGTTCAGAAATTATGATCAATATCATACTCTGATCAACAAAGCTGAACCTGAAGTTTTCTATTTCCGAATATTTGAACTCAGAAAATCTCATCCAAAAACACTTCCAAAGTACATCCACCTACTCAATCCACCCCTTCAATCTGTTCCAATTGAAAAGAAGTAGCTCCAATGTGTAAGAATTGGTGGAGCGCCGAGGGCGCCACCAGCCGCCCGCGTCTTACAAATTGATGGCATCAGGTAGAAGACCAAAAGAAATGAGAAATAGAATGAGAGTGGAAGAGATTTAGATAGGGTTCTCCACCACTCGTTTCTTCTTTTTTTCATTTTTCTTCGTTTTTCTTCTTTCTTTCTTTTGGTTTGGTTTTTTCTTGCAAAGTGTCCTTGTTGAAATGAATATGTTTCGATGATAGAGTGACAAGATGACCTAATTAATCGTAGCTAGATGAGAGGTCTGAAGAGAGAAACGGGAAAATCTGAAAATGATTCGGAATGTCTACAATGTTCCTTATAAAAAGTTTCAAATTGAACGTGCCAGATTAGGAACTTGAATATCATTTGGGAAAAATGTTATAAATCTAGTTGCAGAAATGAATTTTTGAAAATGTGTGTTTTTGAAGTAGTTCATTAAAATGGTAGGTATTTTTGACTCCAATAGATGAACAGAAACATTTTCTGGTCATTCTCTCAAAACCCATTTGAAGATCAGTCCAGTTTTCACTCCGTATCTTCAAATTACAGTACATTGTTAACGATGGTCCAATAGCATTTCAAATTGTTCTCATAAAAATGTTCATTGCCTTTTCCCCAATTCTTTAACCATCTCCTGATTTTTGACAAATTTGTATCGTCTCCTTGAGATGTGTCGAAATAAGGAGAAAGGTTTGAAAAACGAACAGAAATATTTCACGAAACACTTCTTTCAGAACGAGATGAGAAAAAAGAAACATTTGGTGCAGTGTCGCCCCGTTAGGTCGCAATGTTTGCCCCCCTTTTTAGTATTCCTTCGTTGTAGGCGCCCACCTCTCGTTCTTTTTTTTTCGCCCCTTGAAAAAGTTTTCTCTCGTTTTCCTCTAGTTTTTTGTTGTGCCACCTAGTCATAGACACCAAAAGAGATGAAAAAGAAAGAAGCATCATAAAAATAATAAAAACATGGGAGCACCTTTTGTGATGATGATGATGAAGAGTGGTGACTAACAATAGGGTGGCACTGTTTTTAGGAAACGAGGAGGGACGGAAAGAAGGAATTTATTCAGAGAAAAGATTTTTTTTGTTCTTAAGAAAGTTTTTCTCAGGAGAATCACTGCATCTGAATTGTACTTCATATTCTGAAACAGGGAAGTTTGGAATACAGAAATGCACGGAAGAACATTTTGAGAAAGCGGAAAATGGTAGGAATTCCGCGCATCTCCGGCATAGGGTAACAGATTCTGAGCATCCGTCCGAGAGATTCCTCCCTAGCTTGTGCTTAACTTTGGGAAACTTACAATAAACAGACTCCAAAGAGTTTCAATTCTTTGAATTGACATTTGCTTTCAAAAAGTGAGATTATCAAATATACTGCAACTTGAAATCAATGAGATTTTTGTGGTGGGAATCCCTTCGCCTTTTTATACATGAAGGTACTGGAAATCTCCTTCTTATTTGACCAGAAATGATGTTATTGTACATTAGCTTCAAAAAAGAGTATAGAAAAAATCTTTGACACCGGATGGGAAACGAACCCACGCCGCCAGAATACCAGTCTGGTGCACTACCACAGCAGCAGTAGCTTGAAATCTGCACTTTTTCATTGATGAGCCTAGGTTTCGGGGTTCTGATATTCAGTGAAGTATTAGAATTATTGATCCCCCAACTGAAATAACATTGATGTATTGGCAAAAAACCGTTCCTTTCCGTTTCCCTAAAAAACATTTTTCATAACTGCCAAAAGATCTATTCCTTTTACTTTCTCTTCAAACTGACTCAAGTGTTATCTCATTGTTGTCGCCAAAAAGAGTTTCCCACCATGATGATGTCTGACCTAACTTTCCTTTTTTCCTTTATCCCTTCTCTCCCACCAAAATGAAAAGTCCTTTTCTGGCTCAGGAGCTTTGGCGCCGAGAGCCCAGAGGCACACGTATGGAGGCTCTTCTTCTTCCTGCCTCTTCTCTTCTTCTTTTTCGCGTCCTGCTCCGTGTGCTCCTCGGCGCCGTGTGTCTCACCACACACCAACGCATGCACACAGGAGACACACACCCAACGCCAAAGGAGGAGGAGAGCGAGACCACCTCACCTCTTCTTTTTTCTTTTTTTTCCAACTCCCACCACGCCTTCTTTTTTCGAGAATCACGGATGAATGACGATGGATATCGTCTACATCTCCATGTGTTGCAGGTAGGCTCGATCTTCATTATCATTGAAGGCAAAATAGACAGTCATTTCTAAGAATCTAGACTTCAGTATCCTCTCTAATCTCAAAATCCCATCTTTTTTCATATATCCATCATGATTCCTTCCCTTTGCAAGAACATCTCTTATATCCACAGCTCTCGAAAAACCTCTTAATAATCCTCAGTCATTAACCAAAGTCTACTATGGGTTTTACAAGCATTTGTAGAGGAAAACCAAGAAAAGAACGGGCCGAACCTGTGTTCGAACCCGGGACCCCAAAGCGAGAATCATACCACGAGATCATTCGAATTCTATCAGATTTGGCCAATTTCGCTTTTTTTTTGGAAACCACGAACACCCATTTTGCTGCTTTTACAGCAACCCTACTATAGCTTAGACACGGTCGGACCTAATCTTGAACAGAAACATGTGTATACTGTTCTGAGACTGTGTTGGTGCGTTGAACGTTTTTCTTTGCCACCAAGATTATAATAATTTTGAGGGTTGCATATAAAATTGAATAAGTTGATTCTCTCTGAATGCTCAATACAACTGTTCTTTTCCAATCGATCTTGACCCCACCAACAAGAAACCACATATTTTTAATTAGGAAAGACCAATTGTTCAATGAACGTCTTTTTTGATCTCAATCCCCAATCCCAAAGAATCCTGATTTCTTCTGACTCTTTTTCACAATCACGTTTTCCTCGTTCTCAGGTAGTCAATCCCTTCACCATCTCCCCATACTTTTATAAATATTTTTCCGCGATTTTTCGTCCGCACAGTGTTTGGGGCGCCGGTGTCGCCAAATGATTTTTGCGGCGTCGGCGACGAGGTATTCGTCCTAGAGTGAGTGCGTCTCCTCTATGTGAAAGATGTGTGCGGGAGCCTTTCCCGCAGACTCCAATACACAAATAGTATTAAAAATCAGGAGAGTACGAGAGACTAAGGGAGACACCCGCGCCCTCTTTTCCCTCCCGTCGCCACTCTTCTCATATTCTCCTTTTCTTCGTTTTCCCCCTTGCCCATTCCATTGTCATTGTCTGGATGTCTATCAGTTCTTCAATACTATTTCCGTTCTTTTCCTACCTCTGCCTACCCTGTATTGTCTGTGTGTGGATGGATCGGACACTGTTGTGTCATAACACAAACACAGAGACAGTATGGTGTCGGGTCGGGCGCGCCCTTCCATTCGCCTGCCTCCCCCCACACACACAGTTTTCCCCTCTACTTTTTCAAAATGTTCTATATTCTCATATTTTATGGTCACCGACTTGTGAACCCACAATCCTACACCAGTTTTGCATAGGAATACTGTAGCTTGGTGGTTTGAAGCATAGCGATGAAACTGCTCTGTTGAGCAGAAAAACTAAATGAAGACAGTCTTCGTACGAAGCTTCTGTCTGTTCCGATGACTGCCTCCATGGGGAAGAAGCTCAAGGATAGGTAGTTCTTACTGACTAACACCCGTTCAAGAAACTCAGATGAAGGAAGTTGCTAAACAAGAGAAACGGACAGTTCATACTTGAGATTTTTAGGTGTCTAGAATCGTCATTAATTCTGACAGAACCCCCACCTGCTATTAAATAGTTTTTACCCAGGATTAGTTGCTACCGTAACCCTTGATTTATACTAAATCTGGTGAACGGCTCTTATGACCCCATTACAGAAAGTGGAGGTTCAGTCTTCAAACCACTTGAAACTTGAAAATCCTGAAAATCTTTTCTTTTCTTCTTGTTTACACCCAAGATCTTCACCCAAAATGCCTCTTTTTCAGTTTTTTCTGTCGCCCGACTTTCCCACACTTCACCCACCCTGACGGCATTTTTCTCCTTTTTTGCTCATTTCTCGCTCATTTTTCTTTTCTACACTCGTTACATAGGACCCACTAAATAGATTCATTCTATTGGCGAAGAAAAAAAATGAGAAGAAGATAGGCTTATAGTCTTGAAGATACTCAAACATTAAAGCTTCTTACAATATAAGAGAATTAGAGAGGACGAAAAATAAAAAGAAGAAACGGAAAAAAAGATAATTGGATAGTAGTGGTGTATATGAGGATGAGATGAGAAGAGCGCTATTTTGTTTTGAGTTGTTTTAGAATTTCAACACGATTTGTTTCAAGAAATTTTGCTGAGCTCATCAACTTTAAGCTCAAACAATATTACTGCTATTCATGATTAGTTCTGCATTATTTCGAGACAATCAGTAGGTGTTCATTGTTTGTAAGTAGCAGCTTACGAATTCAAAGTTTCTGAACTTTAGATTTCGGAAAAACTAAATTTGAACCTTTGTTGCTTAGTGCAGTCGAATTAGAATCTATATAGAGTCTTACGTAGGTTTCATCACATAATTCATTTCTAGCTCTTTATTTTGTCACTTTGAAAAACCATAACTCATTTTCAATTTCATTTTACACTTTTTCACAAAGTGTCCTTCAACCCTACTCTCCTCCAAACCAAAACTTACAAATTCTACATTCCCCTACTTTTTCTCTTTCTACGTTTTTTTTTTGTTCATGCCCCCTTTAATCGAATCACACCTGCGTGGCGATTGCGCCACACTCTCCTCCTCTCTCTGGTACCGAAAAATCGCTTTGTAGGTTTTTTTCTCGACCCCTTTTACTCTCTTATTGTCTATTTCGAGAGACACCTGTAGTAGAGGCGAGATTCGCCAAATTGATTCTCGTGTGGCGTCGCCATACATTTATGTACAGGCAACATAGAGTCCCTCAACCGCAATTTGTCATGACGTTTTTTTGGTTGAGAGACTTGAAAAAGAGAGAGAGAGAGAGGTAATTGGGGTACAGTATACCCATGTTTCAAAATTTGTGGAAGAGTGGAAATGGGGGGAATAATGAATGATCACCTTTTTCAAAGAGATCGAAAATCCTCTGGAACAAAAAATATAAGAACTACTTTGGATTAAAACTGATTTAGAAGTCAAGAGAATCTGAATAAAATAAACTAGCCGTATCTGGAAAACCGCTGCTTTGTAAATGATAAAGTTTTTCAATTTTGATACAAACTAACTAACCCCGAACGAAACATATGGTTGACTATGAGAATGTTTTTTATTGAAAATACCATTCAATCAGTATGAAACAGTATTGTGCTTTGAAGTTGATAAAATTGTCTTGATGATAGGTATCCTATGGCCAAACACGTACTGTAAGCCGGAAGATCTCGTTTGTGTCTTCCATTTCGTAACCCCATCAATCTCTAAATAATTTCAGCCATTAGTATTTCAGAAAAGTAGGTCATAAAATGTATACCACCTTTCGCCTACTTTTTTTAAGTTTTACCGGTGTCTTTCATTTTTCCTCTGTCCCTAAAATGATGTTTACTTCTGCCTCTTCATTCCTCTTTCTTCCCTTTGGCCTTCTACCTACTCCCGACCGGGGCGAAACGAATCTCTTTTTCTCCTTTTCACTCTCTCCCTTTTCTGAATCTCTTTGATTGTTGTGATCTCTCACCTTCACAACGTGGCGCGATCATTTGGGTGTAGTACAGGAGAAGGGAACGAGAAAAGATAGCACAACGAGGAGTGGAGGGCACGAGAGACACCCTCTGACGATATTTGCAAAGTGATGATGAAGTCGGACAGGGAGGCCGTGGTGCGCCTTCTTTCTCTCTGGGTCTCAAAGGAGACAGAGACACCAAGAGGTCACAGTTACGATTGCAAATCATTTCAATCCATTTCACCCTATCTCTTCTTCTTTCTTCTGCTTTTCCTTCTTTTCATTCTTCTTCTTCTCCTTCTTCTTCTTCCCATCATCATCATCTTCATTTCGCCCCGAAGGGTGTGGGGGTGTCTCTGATTTTCTGTCTCTCCTCTACCCATACACTATCTTCTTATCATTCAGTTCTCTCCTCCCAATTTCACAGCCCAACTAAATTTTTACCACCACCCCAAGGCGCAATAGTCCTTTTTCATCAATACTTTTCTGTTTTCAATGGCCTTCATTAGAAATATCTAGAGCTACCATTTCAAATAGGATTACTGTAGTTTAGGATACATCGCTTCTGAGCAAGAGTTTTCTCTAACTATCCGAAATTTTGCTAATCATAATTTAAAAACTTATACAGTACTGAACATACTTCCTATATAATTACTGTTTTTTGAAAATATTTAAACTATTTTTCGTAGTTACGCCTTATATCTCCAAATATGAATCCTTCTGAATATTCGTTATATTTTCAGACACAAGGACACAAAATGTATGTCCTACTCAACTTGAAAGATGATAAAATGCTCCAAAATGTGGTGCAATTATTGGTGGGTTTATACTTATTTTCTAAAGGAACAAGGAAATCGGAATTTTAAAAAAACCTAAAAAAGTGAATTTTTATCAAACAAAGTCATGATGAGTAACATCTCCCTTTAACTGTGGAAAGAA